CAAGGGCCCAATGAATTATAACCCAATGTGTTACTTTGCAGTTGGACAGAAGACAAGACAAAGTTGTACCTTTTAGACTAATGCAGAGATGCAAGGTGCAAATCTGCCTGCCTTCTCTTGAGGTACAAGTGCTCATGACCGTATTTCCCAAGGATACCTACCAACAGACCACTGCCTGTCTGTCATTCTTTTTTTAATTGGATAGCTGTCCTTCATTTCTGCCCCCCACCCACACACTATTGTGGTTGTGTGCTGTTAAAATTTTGCCAAGTTATACCCCAGAAATGGCTGTATTTCTGTAGTGTATGAATTGATTCCTGCAGGTTATATATACTCTATATATTCGGGGAAACTGAGAGGTATAAATAGTGTTTGCATGGTGTTTTGAGAGTCTTGAATGAAAGGTGCCATAGATGCGTTAGTTATGATTATTATTATATGTGGAAATGTTTAAGCCAGTGAGCGGGTCCAATCACACTTTGATCAAATCTGGAGCATCTGGGGGACTGGGAGTGGCATATTGTTTACATGCAATGACGTATTGTTGCCTTTAATTTTAGAGGCTTATTTGGTAACAATGTTTCTCTCCATTTTAGGCTGTGAAACATTATGCTCCTGTTTGAAGAGCTATTGTGCTATAACTCAAAATCAGATAAGAAAAGCCAAGCACAGGAAAGTTTTATATATTGTGTCATTCTTTTAAAAATATTTTGATTTCTTTTGATGATTTCATGCATGATTACACCTTCTATAGCTGTCTGTCATTCCTTTTAGTCAAGAAGCTATTTTGTAGTACTGTTGAAATGTAGAAAGTAAGCATTCCTTTCCCCCTCTGATGGCATATTGCTACTTAAAAGGCTGCACAATACAAAAATACCAAGAAGTTCCCTGATAACTTGCCTTAGTGGCTGAAACAATTCTGGTCCCTAAATACCATTCAGTTTAGTAGCCCTTGTGTCATCAGCCAAAATCTCCAGAGAATGGCCAGCACTGAAGGTGAGAAATATGCTGGGCAAACACAATGACAAAATACTATCAAGATAGGCTAAAAAGCAAGAAAAGCACACATTAGCACTTCTGTGATGGCTCCAGAAGGGTCCACAGGAAGCAGAGCTTGACCCTTTGCAATAAGGGCTACAACCTTTCAGACTGTAAAAGGCTGGGACACCATACTGTCAGTTTTAAACTATGCTATTTAACCCTTTTAGCTCTTAAAGCCGTATCAGTGCTCTTCATTAACACCAGGTTAGTGCTCCTGTCATTATATTTACTTCCATTCATAAACGCTAGACCAAACCATACAGATCTAAAAACAAACAAACAAACAAGCTTGGAACAAGTCAAAGGGATCCCTTGCAGCAGGAAATGAATGATAGATTTAGTTGCTGATGGAGAAAGCAAATAAGTGCTTCTAGATGGTATTAATGTGATCTTAAAATAGTGGTAAAGTTTTCTTTCATGACATTGACAGAGAGGCAATGATTCTGAGTAATGCAGGTTGATGTGGAGATGCTTTAAGATTAAATAAGTGCTATATAAAGGCCTGTCAGAATGAATTCTAATGTGCTATGAGACATTTTGCATATTTAAGAGTATGCAAAATGTCTTGTACCACACTGGAATTCATTTTGACAAGGCTTTATATAGCATTTATTTATACTCGTCTTCTACTTTAAGGGAAAAGGGATAATGCTTGCTACTCTTTGAATGGAAGTAACAAAAGGTAATGCTTATTGATTTGTTTCCCTCGTATAAAAAAACAAAAAAACAAAACCACAACACAAAAAATAAAATAAAAGCAATCAAAAGTGGAAGCTTGTTTAATATTGCTCTACCATCATCCTGAAAGGCATAATCATTTGAGTTACACATCTGAACTGATTGGAGTTACAGAATCATATCTCCTTTTTGCATTTAACAATATATACAATATAAAATAAATACATTTACACAAATGGACATTGGTTGGAGCACACGGTATGATACACATCACAAAAATATACAGCTGATTGCTTTACAGATGTGAAGCCCATCTACAGCTATAGACATGTTTTTTTACTACTGGCTATTATGCAACTCCTGGATTATTATAAGCAGTTTAATTTTTTTTTTTTGTCCTTTTGCAATCTTTGCACGATAAGACTGCCATAAAATGTCTTCCTAGGCAGGTAAACAGAGACGCTTAAATAATTAAAATACAATCACCAACACCCATTTTCTCTTCTATAAGAAAAATAGCAGTTTTAATTTTTTATATCTTTTTATGTTATCATTTAAATGCAAAATAGTGGAATAAATACAACAATCTGATCTGATTGAAACAAATGTGTAACTTCAAGGAGTCACACAATCATATTGCTTTAAATAAGAAAAAAAATTAAAAAATGAAGCAAAAAATAGAAATTAAATTGTTATGGCTAAAACATACACCTTTTGAAATTTACCCAACACTTCACATTAAGTAAGTGGTCTTGAAAGTACTCTTCTCCAGCAAGGTTTAAGATGAACAATACTATAAAGCCCGTGCAGTTCTTTTAGCTATAGTTCAGTTAATATGTTTACAGTCTCGAGATACTTGTTCTTTTGCAGCTCTGAAAAATTACTGAAAATGAAAACTAAACTTTGCACCGTGTGCCTTTAACACATTTCCTCTTTTTTTTGTGTGTTTTTTGTATTTCTTGAGTTGATTGGCTTTTGACTCTGAAGCCCAAGTTTTTCAATGTGATACAGCAAAAACAATATTTATATTATATATTTATATATATATATATAGTGTAATTAAACAGTAGCAACTTAAACCCTGCACAAACTTTCTGGAAAATATTTTTTTTGCACTCTTACATATATAAATAATCTTATAGAATCAGCACCTTTTTTCCCAGGAGTTGTATTTTTTTTTTTTATCATTTTTAAAAAGGGATGTGCCAATTTCTGAACTCCTATCACAGCTATAAATTTCAAGTTATTGACCATCTGAATGAATTGCTAACGATGATTTATCTAGAATCACACTACAGTCACTTCTCTACTGAGAAAACACGATCTACAATATAGTCCCATATAGCTAATGATAGATACACAGTATTTTCTAGCACAAGGCCGATGTACCATCATCCTATTGTATTTTGTTTAAAGCACACAAAGTAGCAATAGTTTTGGAAACTTGTCCGCACCAAAAAAGTTTTGCAACAACACAGAGCGAGTTAATAACAACATCTGAGAGATGATTGAATAAAAGCTATATTTACAGCATTTAAAAATTAGACTTATCTATAATCTTGAAATATTCAAAGTTTTATTTCTAAGCTATACATTGGTATTCTATAATAAACTGTTACAGAAATTATCCCTTGTTTGAAAATATTATGATTTCAATGTGTATCTGTTCATAATGAGTACTTGTTTGGAGTTTCAATCTCTTAATTATTACTAGGAAGAACCTTATTACCGTAAGGAATAGAATATACTACTGTAATCTCCTGAGGAATTGTACATCCAATATTGTCTCTAATTCTACCCTGTGTCTATAAGCACACACCACAAGAATCCAAACACCACAAGAAGAACAAGACAACAGTCTTTGAATGCAACATAAAAATTCAGAAAAGCACAGCAAACATGAAACATTGAAAAGCTGAACTACATTTCTTTTGTTTGTTAGGATTACAATTTTAATTACATCTGTGTACATAGAATAAGGATGTTCACATAGTACAGGGAGCAGCTACTAACACTGGTACATTGGTATAGCATTTGATGGAGGTTATTGTTTATTGGTTATTTAGCGACTGTAGTTTTCTGGGGGCATCTAATTAGTTTATACATTAGATTACACCTCTTAACAGTCTTGAAACTGTCTGACTTCCATGCTGTGACAATACTGGTTGAAAAGCACATATACTGGTTTAGCTACTTGTTAAAGATTGCAATTTACAAAATAAAGTTTAAATTAACAGATATAGTGTAGAAGTGTTAAATTTTTTAATTTGGTCAGAAGTCTACTATTCTGATTTCTTAATTTTGCAAACCCTGGCATTTGCCTTATTGCCTCTGAGTTATTATTGGTTCACAGGTCTTCATGTAAGAACTTTGTAATTTTGCAAATAACAGGCAGTATCTCATTTGTTTACAACTGAAGCAGTTAGAGATCATGTAGCGATTGTACTTATATACGGTCGCACTTTCCTAACATCTTGACAGATTTGTATTCAATATGGAGTATGTATATATTAGACTACTCAGATATACTGTAGGTGTAATCTAATCCTTTCAGTCAGTGAACATTTAGTTATAAACTGGAGCTCATGTTAAGAAACTGGATGTTTTGGACCAGACTGGCACACAACATAAATTGCATCCGTGATAATATGCACCTTCCCTTCAACTATTGCTTTAGTAAGATAAATTCCCACATTAATAAATGGCTGAAAAGTGGTAAAGCTGGTACAAAAAAATCTCCATTAGTAAGAAGAAACAAAACAGTTAAAAAAATCTTCCTTCAGGATTCATTTGTCCTTCATTATTGTTCATCATTGTTCAAGCCAGCACAATAATGCAGTATTTTTTTTCTCTTTAGTATTGCATGAATGAATAAAGCTTAAACTATTCCCTGAAAAAGTTACATCGTAGCTAACCTAAGAAATATCTGGAAGACTTGAAAAAACAATTAAGGAATCAAATGGCTGTAACTGATCTAGATGGAAAATGCAATGATAAGAAGCAGCCGATGCATCGTTGCTTAGTCGTCTAATTAGAGACTGCTCCTATGAAATCTAATACTGCATTCAGTCAGTTCATCGTGTTGTACTGTACTGCTAGGTACGATGGTTCTCTCTTTGATTCCTTTGTCATTGGGGACATTATGGTTCATAATAAGTTCACTGGCATCCATATTATGGATTTCCATCCTTTGGCAGGCCTGGCTTCCATCTCTCTTCAATTAGAGACCTCTTTTAAAAAGTTCAGCAGCAAAGGAAAAAAAAAG